TTGGGTTATAAAAGAACTCAGGGGCCCTTACCATTAGGTGGGCTACAAGTGTGCAAAAGGTGAAACAGCATAGTTAACTTTTTATTAAAAGTATTCATTCAAATCTGTATTAAAAGTTCATTCAATCAACATCTCTTTAATTTTTAATGAGATCTTAATCTCACAAACCTGAAGGAACTAAAAGTACTTCAGAAAACTGTCATTTCAGATGGTGCTGAGCAGAAATCTGTCCACTGGCTTTATAATTCAGGGGTGATATTTTGAAGTCAGGTAACCGATGCAAAACAAAGACTGTTCACTGGTGTGTTGTTTGTTTTTTCTTTCTAATAGGTGATGTTTCCGATTGTGCTCATGGAAATAGAAAGCGGGAGCAGTGACGCCGCAGCATCCCACGCTCCCTCTTCTCATTTCTCTCTTCTCCTTCCTCTTTTCTGCCTTTTTTGGTCTCAGTCTTCAAACTTCTCTCCATTTGGCCCCATGTGAATCTGACTGAAGGCCACCTCGGACCATTTGCCGCAGGACCGTTTCTAAGCCAAGAGTTTTACTGGCCGTGCCACAGGCAGCCAAACACTTCAAGTGTGTGTCTCGAGTGTGGCTGTTACCGTTTTGGTGGAGTGAGCATCTGCGAATGCAAAGCAAGCATAAAGCAGTAATTATTTCCAGGACTTGTTTGGCCACGGTAAAAATGATAGAAGATTTGCTGTGACTCACATGTATGGAAGTGCAGCGAGAAAAGAAATCATGCACGAGCTGTGTGAGGATGACTCATGGTCCGTGGACGGGCACACTGACAGCCCATGTTACATTATTTCCCAGCAGCATATGTTCGGCGTGGAGAAAACATTAGGGGCAGCCTGGAAGGAGACTCCCATAGCTTTCCCTTTTGGAATTAAAAGCCCAATAAAATTCTAAAAAAAACGCACAAACTTGGAAGCAGATTTGTCTTGTAATGAGGCCTACGTTTGTTGGGTAACTTACATTTTTCATTCAGGCTGCTCTTATGAGGCGGCTGTAAAAATTCAGGAAAACACGTGTGAGCCGAAACTCAGACCGATCTTCCTGAAAGCGTCTGTAAGTATTTGTAGAAATCAATACTGACTCCCAAATGAAAATGTGTCTTGTCCTGTAGCTCCGAGCAGATGATGAAAAAAGCCCCAAGTAAACAAGCATGATGTCATCGCTTTGCCTGTTTGTGCATGCTTGCTGTGTCTCTCCATTTTGAACCCCCCGTAATTACAGGTTAGCTTATTCTAACCTGAAGGAATCCAGCAGATGACATCAGACAAACCATCAGTTACATATCCAAACCGGGAAAAGCTGGGACTTCTTCACATACTCACGTGTTTCAGAAGTTTATACGATCCGCTTTTTGTCTGACTCACTGGAAAATGTGACACAACGGACGGTTTGAGTGGCACATGCAGGTAAAGGAAGCATCTCACCAGGGATCAAACGGCCTTTTTGTGGCGACCTGCACGTCCTGAGACCTGTGTGGACGAAGTATATCAGCTTGAACTATAGTTGAACCGAACATTGAGGAAGAGAATACAGCAGAAACTAGAATGACGTCTGTGGTTTGCTGACTTGACAACGTTATGGTATGGCATTGGGAAAGTTGGACTTTGTTATGGAGATGCTGAGGTCAGTAGAAAATGTCTCTAAGCCAAAGAGGAAGTCTGGAGGTTTCTGAGGTACAGTCACAAGGGGAAGTTTTTTTAATTTTCTTAACTATTCTTTTTCTACTAATAAAAAATTGATGAAATCATTTTGATACATAAATGCTGAGCTGGTACTAAAACATGCTTTGGATATAATTGTCAGCACAGTCATATGTAGGCAGTGCTGAACCTCTGCACACATCATCATTTTTTTCAAACGTTCTCTGCACAACGGTGACCAGTTAACCCACGAAGCCACTCACAGATTTTCAAAAAGGATAGCTGGTTAAATACTAAATGACAAAACATGTCATTTGTGTTCAAACATAGACGTCGTCATTATCAACTAACACATGGTTTAGTTCATAAACCGTAGGCTGGGTGGATCTAAAACATTAATTTTCACCTGGTTCTTTACCATACCATGATGGAAAACTGCTCTTCTCCCCAGGTTGAATTTTTCTTTATATTCTTGCTGTCTATTAAAATGGAGATCGATCTTGTAAGCTTGATAAAATGCCTATGTTTTTTTAAAGAAAAAGATTGAAGATTCCAGTCCTGTGTTTTACCCACAGTTCAGTCCACAGTTCAGGAGCGGAAATCCCATCAGCATCCCAGACTGTTCTTGACGAAATGGTGTGAAATCCATCCAAGCTTATTTTTACAGCTGATCACCAGGAAAACAAACAGCAACTTTTATTTGCTACGTAAAATGAACCATCAATGAAAACATATGTCTTATAAAGCATATTAGATCATTTATGCAATAATGAATAATTGTGTACTTTCAGAAACTCAGAGAAAATATCAGATTCAAAATGATTTGGAAATGTTAATACATGATAATACTGAAATGTTAAAGAATTTTTCATCACTTTTCTTATTCAGCTTTTCCAACATCTTACCATTACCCTCCTACTTTTGGTATTATGGTCTGCTACACATTATCTGCACTATTCTTTAGGAGTCATGACACACTTCCAGTAAGATTGTGCTTTACATTCTACTGAAAAAGTGATGAAAGAGG